GAATAAATTCATTCATTATACCTCAAAATCAATGTTCAGATGAGGGTGGGAACATCATCTCGATTTCGTCAATTTCACTACCATTTATAAATGCTTTGATATATCCACGTGATTTCAATTCGTTCTGTCAAGAGAGTGATCTGAATAGTTACATTCATATGGTTGATATGTTGATTCAAGGAACTTTCAATTGTTTGCAAATGGACAGGTCTCAATGGTTGTTCATGGCAAGAAATTTTATTAAATCACAAGAGGATTTATCAAGACCAAGTTGGATGTGTTGGGTTAACAAACATCTCTTAATTCATGGAGAGGAATTACCCGAAAATATCGATTGGGAAGTTGGAATACAACGTATATTTGATAAAATTCATTGGAAAGATATTTACTACTCTCAATTACCTTTTAAATTCATTTACATTTCGAGAGGTTCGAAATTAAGATGGTACGCGTTTGACCCTTTAAGAAACAAAATCACCAAAGTTACTCAAGATTTTGACATGGATAAAACTTTGGATCGATTGCAAATCATTCGTACCGTGATCAACATTTACAGCGTTCTCGATTCGATTAAACGAAATTGGTCAAAATATATGATTGACAAACCTACGTATCCCTTATATCTCTCATATAATCGTGACGGAAACACGACGATAGAATTCATGGGTAACTTTGTAAGAAAGTCCTTGTTAACGCAAAGGATTCAAAGGTTTGATTTCGAAAATTTAAGAGAACTTTATTCGGGAACTTCTCATATTAAAAATCTAGTTCATTGTGTGGATTTAGAAGGTAAACTCGCCCATCCAACTTTAACTAGGGATGGAATTTGTTTGATTTTTCTACATCCTGTGGGTCATTATCATTATCCAAGGAGTGAAGTTGAGATCAAATCAGCGATTAAAACGATCCTACAAGTTCTCGGTGACATGCATCAAGCTAATTGGACACACAGGGATATATATTGGGGGAATATTTTAAGGCAGGATAATGGAGAATGGCTGGTAATCGATCTGGAATTAGGTGGACCGATTAACGAAATATTACAAATTACCCTTTGGAATCGTTGGCCCGAAGAAGCTGTAATTGGCAAACCGTATCTCGCGTGTTATGATATTTACCAAGTTGGGAGACTTCTTGAAGATTTGAAAGATTCATCACAATGGTATTACTATTCAGATCAATTTATTCACTTTAAAAATTTTTTGCTTGATGCTGCAAAGAACAACTTCACCGCAGAAATGGCATTACAGCATGAATGGTTAAATGGATAAGATTAGATAGATGGTAAATGTTGTAGTCTCAAGAGATTGAAAAAAAAAATAATGTATTTGTATATTGTAAATGTAAGGTAAATCTTTTACCTAATTATTAATTATAAAAAGTTAAGTTGACAACTAGTCAAATCTTTGCTATAATAACTATCCTCATCAAGGTAATAAATATCGAGTGGATTTGCACGCCCAGATGTCTCACATTTTGAGAATTGTTGAGTAATTCTCGTGGAAGACCTATGATCTAATTGGGTAAGCCAATCCTGAAGGAGATCTATGATTTGATTAATATCTGGTCTAAGGGAAGGTGAATAAGACCAACATTTCTTTAAAAGGTTTAAATAATCGTTTGGAATATCTTCTTCAGGAAAGTAAAATTTTGGTCTCCTGTGTTTAATGACAATTTTCTTGACCAAATCACTATCATGAATTTTAGTGTGAAATGGTTTAAAACCTGTCAAGACAACATACATTATCATCGACAGGCTATAAATATCCGAAGATTGTGTGTACTTATTATACTGTAATACTTCTGGTGCCATAAATGGAAGCACTCCGTACAATTGATAATATGTTGATTTAGTTATCCCCGTGTCCGTTATAAACCATTCATATTTGTTATCATCATCAATCGTGAATACATTTCCTCCGTGAAGGTTTTTATGAACTAATCCAAGGTCGTGAATTTCTTTTAACTTTAACGATATCTTCAACAGGGAAAGAATTTTCCCCCTCCAATCCAAAAAGGATTGATTGTATAAATCTACGTCAAAGTATTGCATTACGATCATATAATTGTGCGTTATCGGATCTTTTGTTATCCCATAATATTGCGGTCCTTTTTCATAATGTCGTAAGTTCAAACATGAATGTAATGAGGAGAGGAATTCATAATTCACATCGGAAGAATCGCGAAACATTTTCAACGCGACTTTGATTTCTTTCGTCCAAATTGCTGAATACATTGAACTATATCCTCCTTGTGAGATCAGCTTGATTTGGTCAAATTGTTCATACGGTATTACATTTAGATGACCTGTTTTTTTTTTTTTTAAAAAAAAAGTGATTATCAAAAAATCCTTGTCAGGTTCTTTTTTTTTTTTTTATTAATAAAAAAGGATCAGATTAAAAATTAAAAAACATCGAGCTTACTTTTGAGTAACTTGTCAATAGGAGATTCGTTCTGCTGATAAGGCTGACGTAACGAACAAAAGTCGATAAGTTGACTCGTATAAACCGCCTTTTCGTGTATGTTGTGCTCCCTAATGATATCGGTATCCACATAAACGTGCTCAAACTCTTCGATTTGAGTAATAATTTTATGCTCTGGATATTCATCATCAATATAATCGAAATTATTCAACGCATATTTCCATTCGGCGAATGATTTAACTAAATCTTCGGACGTGGGACGATCTTTAACACTATCACTCCAACACCTTTTCATTAAACTTAAAAATAAATCTGGCATGAAGATATCAATCGTTGGACGAATCCCGTTTGTAATATCCTTTGCAAGTTCCAAATCATGCGCTCTATCAGCAAAAGGTAATTGCATCGATCCCAACATCCACATTATGATCCCAAAACTATAAATATCAGATGCCATCGTGTACCTCCCACCGCAAATCACCTCAGGTGCGACGAATGGTAAGACACCATAAATTTTTGCGAATGGAACCTCGTCTGCTGGATGCCCAAGACACATATCCGTAATCGTGAATCCTTCAACGTTGGCCAATACATTCCCCCCATGAAGGTTCCCATGGACCAAATTTCTGTCGTGTAACCCATTCAGCATCTTTGCTAGGTCAAAACAATCTTCAATTACCTTCATCCAATCTATAGTGATGATGGTTGACCTCTTAATGTGATCATAAAGATTCCCTTCCTCCGCGAAAGACATCACCAACATATAATCCTTATACACCGGATCTTGAGTTATTCCATAACACCATTCGAAATTATCATCAGCTTCTTCAAACGTCTGACGAACAAATTCTTTCAACTAAAATAATAACAAATATTAAAACTGTGAATGAAATTAATTAACTTTTTTTTATTTAATAAACAAAAAAAAAAAAAAAAAAAAAAATACAGAAAGTAAAACAGAAAAGAACAAAAAAAAAAAAGTTTTTTTTTTTAATAAAGAAATCTCCATAAAACCTACCAAGCGACAATACTGTGGAGTAATATTTCTTGAATTATCGAGAGACTTCAAGGCAATCAATTGAGGACCGGATCTCGTGTTATCATCGCTTAAAACGTCATAATTATATAAAGGGCCGCGAAGCCACGTTGCGGTATACACGGTACTATGTCTACCCTTACCATAATATTTTATTAATTCAAAATCTGAAAAGGGGATCCACTCGATATACTCCTTGGGATAACGCGATAAAAGTTGTATTTCTTTAATTAAATCATCGATCAACTTATTCTCGCTCGTCCAATTGAAAAAGTTGTCTCGAAACCTTTGATGTTCGCATTCGAAGCACCAATTCCACGACGATTTGTTTTGTCCACATGTAATACACTCTTTTGATGACATTTTATTTTATAAGAAAAAGTATTGTGAGAGGGAAAGAATTGATTATTTCGGTTGATCAAAAAACTCCCAATATATATATTAATCTACCTTAATTTGGATAAATATATTAGTCTATTTACAATTATGACAAGATCAAATCAAAAGTAAAAAATGGGGAAAACTGGTTGGACAAACTGAATGAAAATTTCGGAATAAAGAGAAACTTTAAATAATTTAAGTTTGTTATGACGCTTTTATAGGCCGAATGCGTAAACGACACGCGTTGACGTTGCCAGTAAAAAAATGGGAAAGTGGGTAAAATTAGCAAATTAGCAAATTAGTACTTACCGACCATGACGTTCACGTGAACTGTCGCGTGCAAACAAAAAAAGCAAAAAAAGTTACAGCACCCAGTATTCCCACGTTGTCCCCAACCGTAGTACTGACTGGGCCATCAGTGGCTTAACTTCGGAGATCGGACGGGTTCCGGTGCTTTTCACTGTGTATGGCCGTAACTGTCAATAGATTTGAATAGAGTCTATTTAAATGTATTTGTTTATTTACTACAAATGTTTTTATACACTTCAAATTTTTACTTCTTTCCCGTTTTATCTCCTCTAGATGGATTTCCAATCATAAAACAAAAAAAAAAAAAAAAATTATCTAATGATCATCTAATCTCGTAATACTTGTACACTGCACGTAATGTAAAAAAATATATTTCCACGTGTAATTGCGCAAGTACCATCCCAAAAACTTTGACATTTAACCTCAAAATCTGCAAGTTCTACCTGGAAATTTCCGGGAATTAAAATGATTGTTAAACGAGAAAAAAAAAATTTTTTTGAAATTGAACAAAAAGAGATTTTCTAATTTTTTTTTTAAAAAAAAAGAATGCTAATGACTTTATATAATAATTGTGAAATTTTGTTTTGTTTTGTTTTGTTTTGTTTTTTTTTTTTTTTTTTTTTTTAAGATTAGTATTATTATTATTATTATTATTATTTTTGTTATAAAATTAAAAAAAGGTATTTAAAAAAAAAAAAGGAAAAAGAAAAAGAAAAGGTTAAGTCGTTGAGACACCCAATTTGCAAAATTTCTTTTTTCTCATGAATTGATGATTTACGGTCGGGTAATCAGATCACGTTGTGTTGCTGTTCAAGTATCGTAATCCTGCTTGAGACGGATTGAAAACCCGAATCAGTTATTGGACTATCCGGTAAAGGAGGTTGCTTTATCGATGAACCGCTACCTCCGGGATTAAATTGTTGTAGGTCTATTGACTCATGCTCTTGCATATACGCACGATCTTTTGGAGGAGAATAATAACAGCAAGGAAGAAAGAGGGCGGCTTTTTTTGTTGTACCGAAAATCATAAATAAGATCGTACCGCTGTAAAGAAAAAATCAATTAAAATTGAAAGGAAAAAATAAAATAAAATATATATATATTTATTTATTTACACCAAATCATACATACTAGGTAGATGAAGCAAAATCAGAGAAGGTAAGTTTGTCAATGACCCCTGAAGGATCATCGCGATTAATCTTCATGATAATTGAGGGTATCAGGGAGACCAAAAGCATCAACGAATAGAAAAAGCTGAAAACGGCTAATCTAGCGGCATCACCGAGGGTTATCGCTGTGTGACGATTTTGATTTCGGTTGTGACAACGCCATCGTCTCAAAAGAATCAATATGGAATGAACTAATGTTTAAACGAGTCATAACAGAATTTTTAATGATTGAAGAATTCCCCATGTGACCAATAACATTGCATTTACCTGTGATAATTATGGACGTAATGGCGAGGATGGAAGTAGGAATGATGTAGGTCAACCATACGTGGGTCGAAGGAGTTTGCTTACAGGACAACACGGCAGTTTGAACTCCCCAATGTTGTTCTTTACTGCTAATTATCAATTCGACACCATTTATTAATATCGTTAGACCCCATATCATTCCACTAATATGCCAAAAGTATTTGTCTTCAACTTGATAATTGAAGCATGTTTCCAACCATAAATAGATGGACAAGGTAGCCGGAAACAATTTTAAAGGGAAACAAAAGAATACCAGGAGTTTATTTTGAATTACGCACAGAGGGGTGTCAAAACCTCTCTCTTGTAAACTGTTTCCGTAAATCATTATTAAAGGTAAACTTAACAGGCCCGTGATTAATATGCAAATGCAGAGTTGAAAGATGGACCTCGCTAAATAAGGAGACGTTTTTATTACGATATAAATGAGGGTGGCTAGCAAGGATAGGCTTATCAACTGCACGCAGACAAAAAGAATGACCAAAGGTGAATATTCTGGCATAACTTAATTATAATAAAATTTTGATTCTTATGGTTTAAAAATAAAAAGGGTAAAAAAAGATTTTTCGGATGTAAATAGTTGGATTTGTTAGTTGGGAGGAAAGGGAATGAATAAATCATACAATCCACTTTTGCCGGGAAGAACAACATAAAAAAGTGGAAAGGAGAAATAGAAAAAAAAAATGGATAAAAAAAAAAATGATGAAAATCGAGAGGGAAAAGGCGATGATTTGTGCCAAGATATGATTAAGGTAAATTTAATAATTAATTTGGGAATATGGGGGTTCAAAAAAATAACAATCCGCGACCAGTTTTTAGCCCGCGGATCTTGTTAAACCAGCCTATATAAATTAAAAAAAAAAAATTTTTTTTTTTTATTTATATTCTTTGAAGTTCCCAATTTATTTATATTTTGAATCCGTTTTCGGATGTTCCAAAGACCCCATTACAATTCTTTATTCTTTTTTTTTTTTTTTTTAAAATGGCATGAATTTAAAAGCCACTATCAAAAACTGGTAAAATGATACGATTCAATATCATCGAAAAAAAGGTTAACGTATGTTGTGATCCATGATTTCAAAGCATTAAGTGATACGTAAATAAAAACAATAAATAAACACACAACAAAAATATGGTTTCATATTCAATGCGTACGTGTGGAGTGGAGAAAAACAGATTTTGTTTACTCTCATCACAAATAAATCTCAAATAATGATTTTTCAATGTTAAATTTTCAATTTTGTTTCGCAAATGCACAATAATATTAAAAATCCATTCATTTCGATATCTTCTTTATAAATAACAAACAATACGAATAGAATACCATGTGATCAACAGGTGTCATTAGAAAGACTACGAATGCATATTTTTTTCTTTATTTATTATTACGACGATTTTAAAAAATATTTACAAGACACATGGACACTTAAAATTAGGAAGAATTAAGGGTGGGATGATACTAACTTATTAGAATTTACGCCTTTAGGAATAAATAAAAAGTCATACAATGGTGCCAATTGATGGACGCCCAGACAATAACTCGAATCTTTCCCTAAATATTTATAAATAAAATATAAATAATAATTAATAAAGTAAGTCATTTCTTTAAAAGTCCATGATCTCTTACTTGTTTCATTATTCCCCAAAGAAAATAAAAAGATTTATTCTAGAACACACAAGAAAAATTTTATTTTTTCGTATTTTGAAACTTTTTACATGACATAAAGGTTAGGAGACGGAAATAATGTTTTTCACAAAAATTCATTTGCGTTCAAAAACAATATCTGAACAAAATTTAGCCTTATCTTGAGAATTACCTTTGGAACGGGAACGAAATTTTTACAAGAGGTTGTTCATGTGGTGTGATCTTCAGATATCTTAATTGTGTACCAAATGAAGTTCGAAACGATTACTCACGGTCATGGGTCATGCCTCCAACTGGTGTGTCATTTACCATCTGAAGCATATTTTTCGACACGAATCAACCTCCAAGCCATCTTTATTAGAGTAGAATATTTTGTATACTTTTGCATACAGTGCATGGAAATCATCGACATGCAACTCATCGGGCCATTCAAATCTTCAAACATCCCGAGATGTACTTTACATCGTCCCAAAAATTTATAAAATTACTTTGTCTAATTCCGGCCAAAATGATCGAGACACGGGGCATTTGCGTTCGTGCCATATAGATCATGTGATTGTCGTAATCTTTCCCGTTAAAAAAGTTTTCGAATGAAAGGATTTTTATTACAAGTATACAATTTAAATAAAAAAGGGGGGATACAAGATTTATTGATTAGATGGTTACTTTTTCTAGGGAATCCACTTACTTTGTTTTCCAAAAATCAAAGAACAGACTTTAATCTTCATGTGAAAATAAAAATCTGTGTAGCGTCTTGGCGCTTCTTCACACCCATTCGAAATAAGTCATGACAAAAGAAATGATGATGATAATTTCAATGACGACAAGTTTTAGAACCGGTAAAAAGTACAACCGATAATTGATGTTATTTGAGGAATTCAGAACAAGAATCAAATTCCAGTTCACGTGCATTATATAGCATATTTGAATATTTAAACAAACAATGAGATGCAGTTTGTTAAAAAAAAAAAAAAACGATATTTATAAATATTTTCCAAAATAAAACATTAATCAAATGTGACGTTGACGAGTAATTGAACCAGGTGATGTCAATTAAGCATGTGTTTGAGTGAAACTTCGAATTCCCAATTTAAACGTTAAACAATAAGCAAATAACTTTTTGATTTTCGTTGATATTTTTAATCTCGGATAATTATAAACAAGCGATACATTTGAAATGGATTTTTAAACGATTATTTTTTTTTTTTGTCGTTTGCATAATCGGGACTCGACATACCTTTTCAAAATGTGTAACCATCATCTATGCAGCTTTATGTTATGTTCTATTAAATCTTTCAAATATTCTTATTTGGAATTCTCATAGTAAAAAAAAGGAAATTCTAAATGGAAAATTCGAATTTATAATGAACCTTATTTTAAAGTATCTATAAATAAAAGGTTTTTTTTTTTTTTTTGATGTAAATTTTTTTTTTGTTTTCTTGTGTATTAACTTGTTTATGCATTACATGTCATATCATATAAATGAAAAGCTATTAATAGTCCTGAGAAAATCTGAACAGAGAAACGAGTTTGTGTGGGGTTCCTTTTCTGAGGTTTCTTTTGCATTGTGAAATAAAAAAATGAAGGTGAAACAAAAAAAAAAAAAAAAGATTAAAAAAAATGATCATTGACCATTGACCATTGATATTGTTTTAATTTTACAACGGGATGTTATCAATTTTCAAATTCCGCCAAGAATCTGATTCGACAATTCTTTTACCCTTTGTTCATCCAAACAGGTCAAAATAAGTTTAATGACATCTAAAAACATTAAAGTTGCATTTATACTAAATAAGGTAATTTATAAAAAAGAACTTTTTCGCGCTATTTTTTATCCCCTCAGTAAAAAATTTAAAAAATTGCACAATCTAGAAATTTTTTTTTTTTTTTTAAGAAAATAAAAGTAAAAAAAAGGAATAAAATCTCAAAGGTCATATACATTGTAAAAGTGGCACATGTTCGGTTTGTTTCCTTATTAAAAATGGCTTCATATCATGTAATTGGGCTGATTTTTTGCATCGAAAATATATTAAAACTATCAAACATTATTACCCGATTAATTAAATAACGGGCAATTTCATTGTTCTCTAAAGATCTCAATTTAATATGTTGGTCATTCATTTTTATCTAAGTTCATCTTCCTTATGAATAATATAGATACTTTATAAGTCAAAAATCGGATGGCTAACTTTATTTATTAGCTATTTATAGAAAAGATTTATTGATCGCAAGGGAAAAAAAAAATTTTTTTTTTCTCCTTTTTCGGTTATTTCTGTTTCGGTATTAATAACTTGATTAGTTATAAAACAATTCACATATATATTTATAATTTGTACGAGGCCGAATAGCTAGAGTTCGGATTTAATGTAACACTACCTACGAAAAAAAAAAAGATACGAAAATACTGCCAAATAGACAAATAGATTCACGGTGCGATTGATTCAATTGTGATAGTAAATGCTTTGAAATGTACACGCCCGCTTCTTTTTTTTGATTATTTTAATAATTAATATTAAATCAATTATTTTAAATTACTTAAATTGAATAAATTAAAATTGTAAATTATCATAATTATTTCTTTCTGTGTAAAAAAAAAATTATAAATAAAACGTACCATCTCTCTATGTATATATACATACATATATATATATATTGTTGTTACAGTAACTCTTTTTTTGCAGTAAATTTTGTATGAGGGTTATTATAGGAAAAAAAAAAAAAAAAAAAAAAAAAGTGTGCGTATTTGAGAAGTTGTAACTTCTTTGTGCCCTTTTTTGTGCATACATTTTTTTTTTTTTTTGCATTTATTAGTGTCTATCCCACAAAATTTGATTCTTTCAAGTCCATTAGGTTTACTCTTTCTTGTTTTCTACACCTAAAGGTACTTTGCCCTTCGTCAGCTAAAATAAATAAAAAAAAATATATATAATATTTTTTTTTTTTTTTTTTCTTTTAAAGGAAAAAAGGAAAAGGGGATATTATTATTTATTAAAAAAAAAAAAAAAAAAAATATGAAGCTGCTGCAACGTAATAATAAACTTCATAGGGTAGATAAGAGTGCGTCTCTTGGACTTTTCATAAATAATACATTATCAGGACCTATGATGATGATATTATTCTACTTATGTTTCACCACAATTCTCTTGTCACATTTGACTTCTGCGGCCGAAACATTTTTAACTTTTGGTGCTGAGAAGGATCTCAGGATAATTCAAGGAACTAGCTATACGGATGGAACTCTCTTATTGAGATTAACCAAACTAGGGAACAAAGCAAATTGTAATGAACCAAAATTATGGTTAGATGTAATCGAACCTGATGGAAAACTCACCGCTTTAACTATTGACAACCACAACATTCCTGAAGATAATTTTTGTTCGATTTCAAAAAAGGCTCTAGTTAAAAGACATCCAGAGTGTGATGGCGATGGTGCCACATCTGATGCATGTTGTAACAAATTCCCGGAATTATGTAAAAAACCTAAAACTAATACCGATTGTGGAAAAGATCCCGCCAATCCAACTTGTAAAAATCCTAAAGACCCAAAGACGCCTAATGAACCAAATGCTTGCACAAATCAACCTCAATCCGAAGATTGCCAAACCTTTTGCGCAAAGAATCCTGGCGCGAATGGATGCGGTGCAAAGGTTCCTCAGAATTGTGAAAACAACCCAAAGGCTCCCGGCTGTGACACGTGTTCGGTAAATCCAAAGGCTCCCGGCTGTGACACGTGTTCGGTAAATCCAAA